CTGGGGTCCTGCGGCGTGGGCTGGGCTCTGTTTCTGGTACTGGTCTGCGTTGTCTACACACTGCTATAGCGGAGAATGTTCTAATCAGTACCTGATGCCGGGAATGTAGCTACAGTAGTTTAGAGGCTCCATCCCTTATTCGACAGATGAAACAATCTCACATAACATCGTTTTTTTTTTTCTTTTTCAAAAGTTGGCTTTGGCCACGAAGGTGGTATGAAGTCAAAGAACAGCTCGTAATTCTCTCGGCGTTACTCATGGGAGCTCAGAACTTTTTCTGCTGCAATTGTTGTTGTTATGGCTATGTATACTACCCTGATTTATTTTGCAAAGTGAGCCAAGCAGGAAGAAGAGGGTGCGTGAATACCTTTACCTGGAAACAGCAGCGGTTTGCCCTTGTGTTCCCTGGCATCCTCGCTGTTGGAAGTCTGGCTGCGACACTGCTGGCGCCTGCCGGACAGGGGGAGCTGCTGGCGTGTGGGCTCTCTGGGGCGGGACTGCGCCGGACCCTTCCGATGAGTGTGAGCTCACGGAGTCGTTGTCGCGGCAGGGGCACGGCGGACTGGTTCGGCGTCGGCAAGGACAGCGATGCCACTCAGAAATGGCAGAGGAAGAGCCTGTGGCACTGCAGCCAGCGCTACGGCAAGCTGAAGGCCCAGGTGATCCGCGAGATGGACCTGCCCAGCCAGGACAACATCTCCCTGACCAGCACCGAGACGCCCCCTCCGCTCTACGTGCCCCCATCTCAGCATGGCATGCAGAAGGTAGGCCGGCCTGGTCGTGCAGCTTGTATTGCCAACCTTCAAATCGACAGGACATTTCTGAATGTCAGGGGAACAGAAAAATCAAAATAACCAATATCTATCTAATCACCACATTTGCCCATTTAATGCTTCATTCTTACACCGGGTATACGCAGGGCCAGAGAGCAATTCAATTCAAGCAGTTCTTCGTGGATTGTGGTGGGATTTTAATAGATAAAGACGGGAGGAAAGTATTTTATAAAGCAGAATTCCTTCTTATTCGTTTTAAAACGGCAAGTCGGGCAATCTGGCGCGCAGGCCCTTGTGCGGTGTGACGGCATCGTCGTCCGAACCCGGCTTGTGTCGGCCGCGCGCGCAAGCGACCCACTCCCCCCTCTCTCCGTCTTGCAGATCATCGACCCCCTGGCGCGGGGGCGGGCGTTCCGCATGGCGGAGGAGACGGACGGCTACAGCGCGCCCCACACGCCCGTCACGCCCGGTGCCGCCTCGCTCTGCTCCTTCACCAGCTCCCGCTCCGGCTTCAACCGCGTCCCGCGCCGCCGCAAGAGGGAGTCCGTCGCCAAGATGAGCTTCCGGGCCGCGGCCGCGCTCGTCAAGGTGAGCCCGCGGCCCGGGGTCGCGCTCGGGGCTGGGCCGGTCCCGTCAGGCCCGGCCTACGAGAGCAGGCCCCGTGGCTCACCCGGCCCGGGTGATCGCAGGCCCATCTCTCGCCTCTAGAGTCACGTCAGCACTGGATTACTGGGGGCTACCCCCCGCAGGGCTAACAGGGGGCGCCCCTGCCCTGAGAAGAGGGGGCTCCTGGGGTCACCGGTGTTCCGGGTGTGCCTGGAGGAGCCGGTGACGTTGTTGCTGTGTGACCTGCCCTGTTGTGCTGTGCTGAGTGCGCGTCACTGGCTGGGGGCCAGTGACGTGCGAGTGAGCTGTGTGTGTGTGTGCGTTTCCCCAGGGCCGCTCGCTCAGAGAGAGCACGCTGCGCCGCGCTCAGAGGCGCAGCTTCACTCCCGCCAGTTTCCTGGAGGAGGACACTGTGGACTTCCCAGACGAGCTGGACACCTCCTTCTTTGCGAGGGTGAGTCCAGCCCTCCTCCCCCCCTCTACACCAGCCCTCTGTCCCTCCTTATCCCCCTCCTCCTCCTCATCTCCCCTCTTTTCTCCTCGCTCACAGCTGTTACTCTGGGTGACCCCACCATCCTGACTTTTTCATTTTACATCCCAACTCCCTGCGTTCACGCTTCCTGGGAGACTGGCACTCTTGTGTTGCAGCTGTGCCCCACGCTGGTATATGATAAACAACAGCAACTTCTGCGGAACAGTTTTCAGAACACTTTAAAACTGTGTAGTATTTTTTTTTTAAATCCAGTTTATATTCCGATTGCCTGAAGACAGAAAGATCGGAGCATTATGAGTCAGTTGGCCAGTCTTCCCACGCGCATGCCTGTCGGGGGGGGGCTGGGGCAAGCGGGGAGAGGCTCTCGTCTCCTGCAGCGCTTCTGTCGCCCTGACCTCTGACCTCTGACCTTGTTGGCGCAGGACGGGCTCATGCATGAAGAGCTGTCCACGTACGCCGACGAGGTGTTCGAGTCGCCCTCCGAGGCCGCCATCAAGGAGGTGGAGGCGGGCAGGGCCCCGGACGAGCCGGATCTCACGGGCAGCGCCCTGGACAAGACCGAGCTGGAGAGGAGTCACCTCATGCTGTGAGTCACTGTCGAGAACCGACAGGTTGGATAAGAGGCTCCTGTGCCATGCCCTGAACACTGCGGAATAAAGAGCAACACTAGGGCTAAATCCGAGAGAGACGTGGTTGGATAACTGGTCCAGGAGTGGGAATCTGTGGGAGAATGTGGTGGCTTCAGTGGGAAAGCGTGCGTGAAACAGTGGGTTTGGGAATGCCACGGTGGTTTGGCGAGGAGGAGTGTGGGACGTGACAGTCACGCTGCTCCGTCTTCATCATCTGCACTCGAGGCCCAGGAAGCCGTGAGAGACAGCCCAGAGATGACCCGAACTAACGTCAGGGGAGAGTCACGACTGCTATCATTTGAATAAGCAGCCTTGTATCAGTCAAGCCTATTGTTTTTAACTGTTTAGGTTTTTGAGTTGTAAAGATGATGAATTAAGCAAATTGAAGTTTATATTGAGTATAATGCAGAATCAGCAGTATGAGTATAATATGCTACTGCTACACTACTCCACAGTGGTCAGATGGATAAAACACTTTAAGTGTTACATCCCTTCAGTTTTCCCCTCACAAGCCCCTTGCGTTTCAGGTTTTGTCTTCACAGTGCAGTGTGAAGACACTGAACCCGACAGTGTGGTTTAAACCACGTGAGTGCATTAGGTAACACTTGAGGTGTTTAAACCCAGGACACATATTCAGCCAGGGCAAGAGTCTTGAAATTCTGAGCTTTACATACTGTGAGTGTCACTGTTACAGCTGCACTATGGCTCCATACTGTCACACTGCTGTCTTGGAGTATTATTATACTTCTGTGGGCTCATTGGTGCTTTGTGGTTGGGTAAATTATGGCTGTAAGCATATTTCAGGTGCAGCATTAAGATATAGTGAAAGGTGGTGACTTAAACATAGGACAGAGGCAAACCTTGTATTTCTTCCACTCTGCAGTTTTGTAACATGATTCACATTTGCCTTGACATCTTGTATGGTGTTAGAATATGCTCTGTTCTTAAGAGCATCTGTGTCATTGTAGTACATCTGCCCCTTTGCTGTTGGTTTCTGGTTATCTTTTGATATTCAGAGCAACTGCATTACAAGTACAAATAAATCCCACAAGACTCTCAATTTCAAAGCAAGACAGGTTGTGTCAAGTTCAGACTTAGCACCGAGCTTTTCAAGATAAATATGAGAACACAGTAAGAAATCCAGAAGAATATTAAATACAGCTTCTGCTGGACCAAGAGTTTAAATAAGTTGGTCCAGTGGTTAAGAAATAACTATGTTATTGTTATTGGCAGGCCTAGGTTACATATAAGCCTTAACTCTGCTGCTGACTTCCTCTGTGCTGCCCTGAGTAACCTTTTAAACCGCGTCCTTCAGGTGAGACGTAAACCCCTGTTCTTAAGTGTGCGACTCTGCAGGAGCAGCATTTGACTCCCAGCTTGCTCCCTAGTTTCAGTGCACTGCTGTGCATGAATGTCCGCTAAATAACACTGCGTTCTTTACTTCTGCAAAGACCTACCTGTGCATCTGCGACACCACAGTCTGCTCTTGATTTAGACTGCACGAACAGCGCTCATTTTAAACGAGAAGCTTTGTAAAGTGCTTTTCTGACAGTGGCTGGGCAGGGCTAATGATGGAGGTGGACAATAATGGTGTGTGGGAGACTAATGGAGCTCATTAGAGGAATGTGAGCTGGCAGTGGTAAAAACACAAGGACTTAGGCACTGGGTAACTGCTTATGCATAGAAATAAAAAACTTTTCAATTTTTCCATGGCTCATAGGTAAGTTAATAATTCTCTAATATCTTGACAGAATGTAGAATTGTACACTTTACTGGGTGTGTCCTAAGAGATACACTACTGATTCTCAAGTGGAATCGAGATGATTCTGAAGTCTTGAGACGTTTTAGGACACCTGCCAATGGCCGAGATAGAGTGCTTTAATAACTTAGGGAAGATGGAGTGGCAAAGCGAGAAATTACTTCACCCTGTGAATTAAGAGGAAAATCTCTTGAGATGCGAGGTTGTTCATTGCCCAGAGTGGAATCTACCCAGGGCAAGGGAGTTTTCACCCCTGTCCTGTACATGTGCCAATGTGCCAAGTGATCTTAAATTATATATACTGTACAGGACCTTATCTGAAGGACAAAACCTCCTCCAGCACACTGTCCTGGTCTTCATGCTGGGGAACAGGTTTGGACATTTTAGTCAGGAGGAAAGGGCATTCCCTACTGGTCGACCAGCACCACTTACAGCCTTGAATTTCCTTGAAGACTCCCATCCCGGTACTAACCAGGCCCAGCCTCTCCCACCTGCTGAGATCAGGCAACAGGGCGGTAACTCCGCAGCCTGTAATAGAGATTATTGCAGTTCATGTATGGGCCAGTGATGCAGGTACCTGGAGCGTTTGTGACCTGTCCAGTCCAGCCAGTGAGTCTCTATATTAACACCCCGCCGCTCCACCTCCCTCCCCGCACAGACCACTGGAGCGAGGCTGGCGGAAAGGCAAGGAGGGCAGCCTGGTGCAGCCCAAGGTTCGATTACGGCAGGAGGTGGTGAGTGTGAGCGGGCAGCGGCGGGGGCAGCGCATCGCCGTGCCCGTCAAGAAGCTCTTCGCCAAGGAGAAGAGGCCCTACGGGCTGGGCATGGTGGGCAAGCTGACCAACCGGACCTACCGCAAGCGCATCGACAGCTACGTCAAGAGGCAGATCGAGGACATGGACAACCACAGGTACCGGGCCGAATGGTGTCCCCATGACGTGTCCAGATATCCCCTCGCCCCGTTTCCGTAGGCTTTCCATGTTCGAGTGAATTTTGCAGGATCCATGGCAAACTCTTTGAGACAGGCCTGCAGCTGGAAAATGTGCACCCTGCTCCTTAATCCTCAGGAAATACTCCTCCGGCTTATTCATTCTGTAGTATTGGAACAGAAGTGTATCGGATGTGAAAGGATTTTGGGGGTGTTTTTTGGCATGTAACTGTCTGGCTAATTCTTTTTCAGACCGTTTTTCACGTACTGGATAACGTTCGTCCACCTGCTCATTACCATCCTGGCAGTGTGCATCTATGGCATTGCTCCTGTGGGGTTCTCACAGCACGAAACAGTCGATTCTGTAAGTGTAGCTTCCCTCTTCAAACACCAACCTCCTGCAGTAAAGCTGTAGAAGCACATTTATATGTGATACTGAGATCAATACTCATTTTAAGCGGTTTTATATTCCCATATACAAATATAAAGGTTTGTCTCCATTATTTGAAGGAGCGGGAATCATAACAGCCTCTTCTTCTTTTTTCAGGTTTTAAGAAATAAAGGGGTTTATGAAAATGTCAAGTACGTTCAACAAGAGAACTTTTGGATTGGACCAAGTTCAGTAAGTGTTTTCTTCTCTTCATAAAACAATCACGCTCGTTTTTAATCCATTCATTTTCAGTTACACTGTGCTTGAAGTAACAGGTGTCTTACACTAGAGTTAAAAAGCGCTGATTACAGTCGAACGATGTATAGTTCACAATCGGCCCGCTGCGGATTAGATGTGTTTAAGATGAAATCTTGGCGTTGGCTGAAGACACCGACGTGTGACAAGGTGTCTGTGGCAGCTGTCACGGAGCGTCTAGGGTTCTGTTTTTAAATTGCAGCCCCAGCGCTGATGTGCGGTTCTCGCTGTGTCCGGCAGGAGGCGCTCATTCACCTGGGGGCGAAGTTCTCCCCGTGCATGCGGCAGGACCAGGAGGTGCACGAGCTGATCCGGCAGAAGCGAGCCAAGGAGCGAGACTCCGCCTGCTGCGTGAGGAACGACAACTCGGGCTGCGTGCAGACGTCTGCCGAGGAGTGCTCTGTGAGTCCCCCCTCCGGCCTGAGAGACCCTGAAGGAGAACCGGCACTGACCGCTGGCCCTGGGGTCAGGCCCCTCCAGCCACTGGTCAGCCTGGACTTCAGCCACCACAGCACAGGAATGAGCACTCGTTCTACCCCTGTGGACAAATGATCACCCAGCTGCCCAGCAGACCAGCCTCAGGCAATAGCCCCCACCTCACATGAGTCCCTGCGGCGTACAGCACTCCATGCCAGAAAACGGCCAGTTTCTGTAATTAAAGAGCTGCACGCAAAAGCATCACCCCTCTGAACCACCACAGAACCTCCTGGCCGTGAGGAGGTGCTGGCCATCTGCCCCACAGCACAGCTTTTGGAAGCTCAATAACAAGAATCACTGTGTTTTGGGGGAGGGAGGGGGGGGGGGCTGTAATAGAATTGATTTATTTTATTTTTTATCCAATGTGATGGAGCGTTTCACTCCATTTCACCGTTCAGTCCAGGCCACCTGTAACTTCTGTGTTCCATGCCTGTCGCCCTTCGTGCCCTGGGACGGGTGTGACGCCCCCACGTGTCTCTCCCCTCGCCCACAGACAACCCTGGCGAGATGGGTGAAGTGGCCTCAGGACCCCAGCGTCCCCCGGCCCTCGAGCGGCCCCCCGCGGCAGTACGGCTCCGTGTGCCATCAGGACCCGCGGTAAGGCGCGCCGTCGCGGAGCGCTGGGTGATACGGCCCAGCCTGCGCTTCAGTCGCACTATGAGGAGCAGCTTCTGATTCCGAGAGGCGAAAGGGAAGGTGATGGAGGACCTGTGCTGAGTGAACACTACTGCAGGCAAACAGTGCTTTATAAGGCTCTGCGGATTGATGGGAATCATTTTTTTCTGAATGCTGATAAATTAGCCTCTTTCCTCCCTGTTCCCTGCGTACAGTGTGCCATTATCCACATTCAGAGTAGTAATCGGCAATCTAATTGCTGAACCCTTTTCAGAAGGGTCTTTCCCTCGTTGCCTTTTTATGGTCTGGCCGCCAGTGCGTTATCTAGTTGTGAGGAGTTGTGGGCTGCTAGCAGGTTGCAGTAATGGGCTCGTCTCCCTTCCAGGACCTGCCTGGAGCCGGCCTCAGTGGCCCCTCATGAGTGGCCTGACGACATCACCAAGTGGCCGGTGAGTTCCGGGGGGGGAGGAGGGGGGGCTGTGTGGGCCAGCCCTTGCACTTCTGTGTGAGCTGTGCTGCGGTTAGCCTGTGACATCACTGTGCTTTGTTTCGTTTCCTCTCCTGGTTCCCAGATCTGCACCCGGTACCATGCGGGGAACCGGACCAGCCTGCCACACATGGACTGCACCCTCATGGGCCGGCCCTGCTGCATCGGCACTAAAGGGAGGTGAGGAGAGCCCGCGGGTGGCGAGGGGGCGTGTGAGTTTGGACTCCACTCTGCTGATTTAAGTGTAGAAACACCCCAGCTTCTCCAGTGCAGTTTTGGCCCAACTGTTCCAAGCCCTGTTGCAGCTGGAGTCGTACAGCATGCATGCCTGCTCCGTAATGACTCCTGTAACATGGATGAGTAGATCAAGGCACCTGCTAAATATGGTTTTAACAATCATTAAAGAGTGGAAAGGGTTTGAAATCTTACTGTGCATATAATATGTACACAATAAATATAGTGTATATATATATACGTCTTGTTTTTGATTCAGCCCGAGTAGTCAATTGAACAATTCACCCGATTATTTTCTAAATTAGATCTGTAAAGGATTTTTATTAAGGTCTTTAACAGTTGATGACACAAGACATTCACTTCGTTAATGGTAGTTACCTATAAATCACTTCTGAGCCTGCTTAGAATTACTACAAGTGTGCAGCTAATTAAATAACGAGATCGACTATGCAACGGGAAAAGTGGCTGGGACAAAATCTAGAAGACACTAGGCCCTCAGGAACTGATTTGGAGACCCCCGGTTGAGAGGGGTGCTCTGTCCTGTGAGACGTGGGACTTTGGTCGACTGTGTGCTTGGTGTTTCCAGGTGTGAGATCACTTCCCGCGAATACTGTGACTTCATGAAGGGATACTTCCATGAAGAGGCCACCCTGTGCTCGCAGGTAACTGACGGTGATCTTACGAGCAGCAGAAAAACACCTGTGTGTGCTATGACTTGTAGTCAGCCTGTTGGCCATTGATTGAACTGGTAGTCCATTGATGATGGAATTGAAAATAAGCACCTCTGCTGTGATGCACTGAAGGAATGCAGGTGATTTTCTCAATAGCGCATCATTTTTTATTGGCGTGAGTTGAAGAGAAGGGAGAATTCCAGTCAGACCAGTTGTTGGTCTTACGGACTGGACAGCCTTGATTGTACAGTACCTCTGACCGGTATGTCAGCAGACTGGGTCAAGTGGACCCATCTAATCTGTAAATTCTTCTCAGACAGCTTAACCCAATTGTTGGCGCCAGTGTTGCCTGACTGTACCGGTGTTTATGGTGATAGCAGACCTGACCCACTTGAAAAATATACAAAGGAAAAAAAAAACATTTCACTTGTCAGTGTGCTGATTGCACATCTAATTAGTTTTATGTTATTAGAAGTCTAAAAAGAGGAGAAGATGTGGTTTGGCATTAACAAGTATGTAATCACCATTAAGGGACCGGGTTAATCAGCCGTGTGGCAGCAAACGAAGACAGTTGTAATCGCTTCTGTCTGGCGTGGCACCTACCGATCAAATTTAATTGTAGCACAGGGAGAGTGAAGATCCAGTTTAAAGTCGCTGACCGGTTTCAAGTTCTTGCCCAGTGCAGAGAAAGCACCTGAAGGGTTTTAGTGATGTTCCAGGCCTGGGCAAGGTGTCAGGGAGAGTCGATTTGACCTAGTTCTTTATTATCTGCTTCTACTAACCCTCTCTTAGAGAAGTGCATTCATCACCATGCTCCTCTTCCTCACACTATACAGCTCTCACTGCTTGCAAGAGCACAGTCAGAGTGCTTCAGTTTATAAAAATTGTTCATTCACTGGGTACACCTCCCGGTCAAGGATTCTGGTCTTCTATGAACCTGAAGGTGACCGAGAAGGTCAGTATAGGGTCCACACATTTCTTTGCTGGTTGTGCAGTTGTTGACTCTGGTCATATACTGCACAACCCAGTTGTGTCTACCTCTCTTTGACATCTGCTGTGCTTCCTCTCTTTGAGACATCTCTCCCAGTATATAGCTGATGTCAAACAAAAAAACATATGGTTGTTATTATCGGTCCATCCAACATGTACCTGCTTCATCCCATTCAGAGTCATGGGGGAGCCAGAGCTGATCTTGGCAAGCAGTGGGAGCAAGGCAGGATACACCCTGAAGAGGGCGCCAGTCCATCACAGGGCACATACAAGACACACACACAGACTCACGCCAGGGCCAGTTTTCCCAGAAGCCAATGAATCAGGCACCATGTCTTTGGACAGAGCACACAGAGCAAAGCCATGCGAACACGGGGGAGAGAACATCCAAACTCGACACAAAGACATCCTCAGGTCCAGAATTCAAACCAGGGCCCCAGGACAGAAACGCTCACCATACAATGCTGGAGTGAGAAATCCACTTAGAGCGCCAAAAAGGAGGCAGCTTGTGAAAGTTTCTGCGAATGCAAAAGTGCTCTCCAAAACATCGGGCTGGTTTCTGACTTGCGTGGTCATTACAGGTGCACTGCATGGACGACGTGTGCGGATTGCTGCCTTTCCTCAACCCCGAGATCCCTGACCAGTTCTACAGGCTGTGGCTGTCCCTCTTCCTCCATGCTGGGTGAGTGGACCAGCCCCTAACCCTGCAGGCCCCTGGAACAGTGCTGGACACACACCAAGTCCTGTTTCTGTGGTAGTGTGACCCATGGATAAGAATTGCACAGGGTTCGACAGAGTTCATTTTGTGGAACAAAATAATCTGGCTCCTTGGAACGAATGCACGTGTAGAGAAATCCTCTCCTATCTTGCATTAGTTCTTAATACTTGTTAAAATCCCTTAATTCAGCTCATTGTCAGGCACCTCAAATGCTAGCTAATTTTTACTTGATGACAGGCATTTTGCAGTTGCCAAAGTGCAATTTAAAAGCTGTATCCAGATGTGTTTCAAGTCTATGGTAGGTTTTTGCATGGAGTGAAAGTGACAAACTCCCCAAGAGGTCGGTAGGCCCAGCTGTACTGTTACATCGTGGAAGCCTGGTGTGCTGATGGGAGGTGTTGTAATCTCCTTCTAGAGAGCTCGTGATGTGAGGAGGCTGGGGGACCTGTTTTATCTGCGTCACCCACACCAATGCTGACTGAGCTGATAGCTGAGCAGTCTGGCACGTGCCCAGCTCATACACACCCGCAGGTCTTAACATTTTGTGATTTAAAAGAGCCTTATCTAATGCTCTTTGTCTTCCAGTAATTAATTCTGGATGAACCAAACCCCTTGTTAAGCAGAGTGCAACTGATCCTTCCCAGTGAGCTAGTTACTCACGTCTCTCAACTAAAGTGTCTGTTCTTCCCAGAAAGCTGAAATTGTCTCACCCACAGGGAGCCATATCCATAGCGTGGGGGTGATTTGAGCATTCTGTGGTATTTGTAGGTATTTAGGAAAAAAAAATGTATTTTGTTGTTTACTTGTTTTATCAAACATTATTTGGATATCTCAGACTAAGAGTGTTACATATTTATGAGCCTAAAACTTTAACAACGGCAAAACGTCTCCTAAGAAATTAACAGGCTCTTGTGTTTGGCTTGTCTACCCCTTCAGCTGGCTTTCCAGAGGCATACTTAACTGAATTTGGAGCATTATTTTCCCAGTGTGCAGACTATGGGCAAGCTGCCCATGCAATTAATTTATCGTACAGTAGGCATCTTGCCGAGGTTCCCTGCTGGGAAGATATAAACCACCAAGATTTATGCAGCTGGCCCCAGGGAGTCTGTTGATTTTCTGCGGAGCCTGTCTCAAGTTCGTGTGCTCCAGCCCGTCTCTCGGTGTGTGTCTACACGCTGCCATGTTGTGTCGGACAAGGTGTGAGCGTCTCTCTGCCTCCCCTCTTCAGGATCCTGCACTGCCTGGTGTCCGTGTGCTTCCAGATGACCATTCTGCGGGACCTAGAGAAGCTGGCTGGCTGGCTGCGCATCTCCATCATCTATATCCTGAGCGGCATCACTGGGAACCTGGCCAGCGCCATCTTCCTGCCCTACAGAGCTGAGGTAGCGCATTGCCGTCCTCATTCCCAAGCAAGGACAGAAGCAAACACAGCACCACTTTATTGAGTTAGAATGATTTTACTTTTGCATCACAGTCAGTTCCTATAATCTGTATGTTAGAGCTGCTTTTTTACTCGAGGGATAAGATCCGAATGGACGTGTGGGTAAGTCAGGAACAATGCAGGATGGGTGGTTTATGATGAGTGCCCTGACCCCGTCCTCTCTCTCCCTGGCGTGGATCGGGCAGGTGGGACCTGCGGGCTCCCAGTTCGGGATCCTGGCCTGCCTGTTCGTGGAGCTGTTCCAGTGCTGGCAGATCCTGGCCCGGCCCTGGCGCGCCTTCGCCAAGCTGCTGGCCGTCGTGCTCTTCCTCTTCGCCTTCGGCCTGCTGCCCTGGATCGACAACTTCGCGCACATCTGCGGGTTCGTCTCGGGCTTCTTCCTCTCCTTCGCCTTCCTGCCCTACATCAGCTTCGGCCGCATGGACATGTACCGCAAGAGGTGCCAGATCATCGTGTTCCTGGTGGTCTTCCTGGGGCTCTTCGGCGGCCTGGCGGTGCTCTTCTACGTCTACCCCATCAAGTGCGAGTGGTGCGAGCTCCTCACCTGCATCCCCTTCACAGACAAGTTCTGCGAGAAGTACGACCTCAACGCGCACCTGCACTGAGAGCGGGGCCCCTGGGACCGGGCAGGGCCACACGCTGGGCTGGTGCTATTCCCACTCTCTGCCCCTCACGGCTGGGGGTACCTCCAGGTTTCGCTACTGTAGCCCCCATTTCTGCAAACTGTGACTTTTTTTTTTCTTTTTTTTTTTTTTTTTTTTTTTTTTTTTTTAAATGAGCGATGCCAAAAAGGCTTCTCTCCCATCTCAAGAAGACCCTTTTGTTCGTCAAGCAGCGCGTTGTACCCCTCAAAGTGTTTGACCCCCCCGTCCCACACGTTCCATCCCCCCCCCAGAAAGAGAATACGATGTCTAGACAGACATTTCCCTGCTCCCCGACAGGTTTCGTCAAATCCTCTATGCACAATAATGCATTATTTTGTATTTTCTTAGATTTTTTTTAAAACCGTTTCCAAACTAGTCCACAGATTGACTCCACTGGGGGGGGAAGAAACAAAAAAAAAAAACGAAGCACACACAAAAAAATACCTTCAGTGCCTTGATGATAAATGTACCAACTACTGCCACGTTTTTATCACACCTGACTGAGCACTAAGATCTTGTTAACCTTTATTGTTTACCGCTACTGTAGTGGTGATTGTTACAAAAAAAAGGTAGCGTTTTAGCTACCATTTACTTACCTGTAACTGAGAATACAGCAAGAAACCCTTGTTCTGTCAGCTGGGGTCTCCTGTCTCTTATTGTGCCCACTCCGATATTCATGAACTCCGCCCTGGATGGGATTTTAACAATCCCTCCCGTTATTTATCCTTTGCTTCCCCGCAACCCCATCCACCTGCCTATTCTCAGCAAGCACGCGATACAAGATCGTCAAAGCCAGACCCTGGGTGGCTGCAGGTTCATACAGCACCATGCTGTTGATTCACAGGCTTGTAATCAATATTAAGTGAGGACACAGGACGGTCTCTTTCATTTGCGTGTCGCAGCAGCACCTGTAAGATTCCATTCATAACCTTCTGGAGCTTAAATATATTTGAAAGGGCCTAGTATGATTGATTAAGAATTCTGGATGGCTGCAGCTATAACTGATTTTTTTTTTTATCGTTTATTAAAATTATCAAAGCAAAAGTGAACAACACTGAACAAAAAAAGGATATACAAATAATAGAAAACAAGATGCTAGTAACAGACCAAAAAATGCATTTTACAGCCACTTATAGCCCATGTTAATTTCCATCTCCAAGTAGAAACAACAACAATGAGTAACACTGCGCTTTGTGGATGTAGCCCAAAAGCAGACACAAAAAGCCAAAAATTTAATATAAAATACAAATTTTGTTAAATAATTTCACCTAAAACAAAATGCATGTGCACCGAGACTATTGAATATTCCAGGCTGGATCTAGCCAGTTTTGTCTCGGTGTTAACACAAACTAATTTGTTTTCATTTAGGCAGACTGCAGTCCTTACAGTAAATGACTGTTGCTGTTCAGATGACATCTGTTTAGATTGCAACCGTGCTGTGCTGTTCTGACTCCACAGTTCAACCACTACAACAGAAACACCGCACTCGCACTGAAAACGTTCCCCTTAACACATCATGACACTGAGCCATAATACAGGCCGTAAACGCCTGGACTCAGATGTTCAGTTTCCCCGCTATTTCAAGTGAGAACCAGTTAGTTTCAAACTCTCTCAGAAAAAAAAGATTCTAACCACTGTGCGCCGTTTTATACGAGTTTTGAGACTACGTTTAAAAAGCAACAGCATTATTTTCTTGGGTTCATTTTTGCACATTTTTTGGGGCGACAGTCAGCTTGACGTGAGTTACAGTTTGTACAGGCGATGGCCGCCGTGGCTTTTACGCGTCAAGCAGATCTCTGGGGCACCGACCGAGCAGGGCAGCGGGTCGAAGACAGCCCCGCGCTGGCGTTTATCCTGCCGGTTCTCGAACCCGCGATCCGGGAGTGGGGAGGGTGGAGGCCCAGAGCCTGGACCCATCAGGCTGTTCCGTTACCGAGGAGACGGGGGAGGCGGGCGCAGTGGAGAGTGCCGCTCGTACCTTGCCGCACGGGGGCGCGTGGGGGGGGGCGTCCGCGGAGCCCGGCGCTCCTAGCAGCCGCTGTTCCGCCGCTCGAAGGCGCTCCCCCCGAGCGGGTACTCCATCTCGACGAAGCTGAGCGAGCCCACGGCGATGGCGGAGGCGCCCTTCTCCTTGAAGCCGGCCTTGCGGTAGAAGGGCACCAGGAACTCCTCGCAGACCAGCAGGGCCCTGCGCAGGCCGGGCAGGCAGCGCAGGTACTGCAGGTAGCGCCACAGCAGGATGGAGCCCTTGCCCTGCTGGCGACACTGCCGGTGCACTGACAGCACATGGATGTGCACGGTGGGAGTGTCCGGCACATGCGTCATCAGCGCCTCCTAGAGGACGGGGGGGGACAACAGGCTGTTAAAAGGTTAAGTGTCACAGACTTTAAACAGCTGTGCTGTGCAGCTGCTGACTCCTCACTGCGTTAAAAAAAAAGGGTATGGAAATAATTTGAGATTGTGTATTCATAACAAGGATGGCTGAAGTCACTACCATCTCATTTGCACCGGTGACCAGAGAACATGGAACGTTTTTTTTTTTTAATTGGGGATTTTAAAGAATGAAGAGGCACATTATGACGTGTGTTCGTTATGCAGAGGAATCGACCGGGACTCTAAGCAGAACTCAAGCCCAGTCTAGCTGTATTTAATATAGGTCGAGGGAAGGGGATGTAAAGTCTTTGTTCGGCGGGTGCCAGGGATATTCGAGGGCTGAGCGAGCAGCGGCGCGCACTGACCTGCGCCAGTCTCTCCTTGTCCCACCCGGAGCCGATTACGAAGGCCACCAGCTGGCCCTCCTCAAACCAGCCCAGTGACAGCTCGGGGCACAGGCGCAGGAAGTGCAGCACCTCCTCCAGGGTGAGGGGGCACTCCCCCGACACCGACACGAAAGCTGCACAGGAGACACACAGGTGGAGAGGGGAGACACACGGGGGAAGGGAGAGAGGGAGACAGATTAGTTACCGCAGGAGTCCAAAATCTTAATTTCACTTTGAGGATTACCGATTACCGATTGGCTCAGACAACAGCTGCCTGTTTCAACTCGGCTTTAGCCAGAGGGCTATACTGTAGAGGCTGTTGTTATAGTCAGAATATAGTTTGTCGTTCCATAGTGTAGAAGTAATTTTACACTTAGTAGACATTCAAGAGGATAATGACTACACACGCATGGAACAGGTTTTCAAAAAGTCGCATTTCCACAGGAATTTAAGCTGTATCACCCGACAGGCATGGTTGTAACACATCGAGACGTGATTCTGACAAAATTACTCCTGGATGTTTAAAACATTTAATTTAGGATTTATAAACTAGCACAACACAGCCATAAAAGAAAAAAAAACATGTACTGTATACACTGAACTTGAACTTGAACTTTATTGCCATATGTAACCGGTACTGGTACAATTTAATTCTTACTTACAGAAAGTCTTGTAATCACTTATTCAATAGTAAGAACTACTTAATTTGCAAAAAACAGTTTTGGTGAGGTACATTTCAAGTAAAAAAAACTATTAATGCTGTTAGACTGGGTGTAATGCATCTCACACACACACACGTTCTTAAAATGCATTCCCATTTGACACAGCACAGGGCGAGTACACCCTGTGACAGCAGTGTGGCCTCTTAAATGAGGTGCTTCCCCTTGAACAGCTCTAGTTGTGTAAATGGGAACGAGCCCTTTGTCCAGACAAGAAGGTGATATGATACTGCTACTTGTTGAGAAACATTTTAAAATCTAGTAAAACTCTGTATTAAATCATTTTCACAGGGGTGAGAAACACATTAAGTGAATTAAATGGGACCGGCGGAAATGTTTCCTTTCAGGTTTGGAGAAAAAAAAAACGCCTCCAGTCAGCTCATCTCTGCTCCACGCAGTTGCCGACTGCTCCCCTTCTGCGCGGTCTTTGAAAACTGCCTCTCAGTTTTAGCCGGGCCATGAGCGAACGCCAGAACAGAGCCAGTTAGAGGGTGAGACCCCAGGGGCACCCGAGGGCAGGGCCTGGCAATCGGCGTGTTCTGCTGCAAGACTGCGGCTCCAGCAGGACGTCCCTTCCATTAGATGACCGTCGCCTCGGGTGCACGATGGTGCCACAGCCCTTGGACTGGCAGTTCTGTACCTCACACCCTGTGCCCCTGTCCCCCCACCCCTACCCCCGAGCCCATGGGGCGCCTGCTTCCTTACCTTCCCGCTCGATCTCGAAGACGCTGATGGCATCCTGAGGGGTGAGGTTGCGGAACTCGCTGGCGGGGAGGGTGTGGCGCCGCTGGCGGCCGCGGCCGGACACGCTCACCGGCGCCTTGAGGAAGAAGGGCTTGAGGAAGGGCGAGCTGCACAGCTGCTGCTGCTGCTGGGCCATGGTGGGGGAGCGGTGGTCCCCCGTCTCCCTGCGGGACGGGCTGCTGTGAGGAGATCTGCCTGCCGCCGCCGTCTGCGCCCTCCAACACGCCGCACCGCGGACCAGAACACCCAGCCTCTCAGAATCTCGGGCAATTAGCCAGTTAGCGTAATCTCCCTCTAACGCTCGCGCGTGCTCCCTCTCCTTCTCCTGCTGTGTCTCTCCCTGGCACCCAAGAGAGACTGGGGGCCTGCCCGGGTCTCCCGTTCCTTTGTCGGTTGTCAGCCCCCCACGCCTGCCCGCCTGCTGCAAAGAGCCCGTCTCCGTCCCCCCCCAGCTCTCCCAGGCTCCAGTCCCAGCAAGCCCCTGTCTGAGCTGCCGTCACACCAGCTGCAGCAGGAGTCTGACACCAGTTAGCAGCGAGGATCAGCTCTCCTTACAGTCCCCCTACAGACACCCTCCTAATCCCGCCACAGCATCCACAGCAAAGAGGGTTAGCCGCCTGTGCACGTGCCCTCCTAAGCCAGTGGAATCCAGCCACCGAAGCAAAATCAGTATGATACAGCCACTTCTGCGGAAAGACTCTCAGCCTGGACTAATTCCGTCTCAGGGCAGCCACAGGCAGGTCTGCGGGGTGGGAGTGGGGGGGGCTTCAATTATATCTTGATTTTTAAAGTCCTCCCACCCCAGCTGAGGTGCACCTCCCCAGTTTGCACGTCTACATCAATATCTTCCAATGGCCAAGGTTTAATCAAAGGAAACCCCAGATACAAAAAATAAGACTCATTTCTGGACGGCTTCATCTAGTGCTGCTGCATGCCACTAATAAATCACGCACTGCACGCATACTTGTATAAATATCGATCAGTTTGGCATTATGTGTGCCAAATCCGAGAGCAATTTTACCATGCAATGTAACGGCACGCCTAAGCAAAAGCACAGTGTACTACAGAGTGGAGGAGCTGACAGCATGAGTGTGCCATCACTGTCCCTGGCACTTTGTCTCTCAGGAGTGTGCCAATGGTCCAGGAGATCTGTGCCATCACTGCCCCTCCCAGTCCAGACACCAAGGGCATGTGGACTTTAGGATTAGCGTGCACAGGGAGTGGAGATTTGTTTGGATCGCTCACGAGTTGCTCAGGAGACACAAAGAGGGTTAGTTCGTTAGCTAATTCAATGAGACAGTATGGCTAAGGTGTCACCTGCACCTCACGCTGCTGTTTGGTAAGCTGGGCTGCATGAAGTGCTGACGCATTTTACTCCTCACCTCAGGTGCCTTTGGAGAAGGGTTACGTTCTAACGAAGAAGGAAAGCTCTGCAGCCTCATAAGGTCTTTTACCTCCTGCCTTCCACCAGCCCTGTGGGATCAGCAGAGGAGATGGGAACCTCTTCATCCGCGTCTCATTCAGAAGACATACGGACACACCGCTCCGTTTCTCTGGGAGCTGGGTGGGTCTCTCTCACCTGGTTTGAAAAACAATAGGAGTATAAATCACAAAGCATGAAAAAAGATGTAGTAAACATGCCAAATGAATATTTAATACAGAGCACTACATGCAGTAACATGTTACAGAACTATTCCTGAAAGAATGATCACGAATGGATAAGAAATGAAGACTGTTATTCAGAGACCCTCAGAGAGGATAATTCAGCTGGCACTTGGGCCAGGGGCGCCCACAGACGGGACCCCAATTCAAGAAATGAGAACAAAACTGAAACCAGAAACTAAAGACTAATCAGTCTTGCCTAACTGTTCCTGGCAGAATTAAGGACAATAAAGCATTTACAATGCCATTGTTTTGTAAATATTTTTTTTAGTTAACAGTCAATATAGATTCAGCTTGAGCAAACAGAATGTTTGGGCATACAGTACAGAACAAATATGGAGTTTCAATTCAGGAATGTTACGCTCAAGCTGTCCAGATCTCCTTTAGGTTACATTTTGGTCTTTAAATATTTATGATTAATTAAAATAAAAGTGTTCTCATATACAGACATCTTAAAAGGAGCAAAATCTCTTCAGTCTAGATAAAAGGAAATTCCAAATATACGGGATCTTAAGGACCAAAACCAGCGCCAGCCAGAGGGCCTATTTCTAACTCACTTTCACACATGGAAATTATAAGGGAATTCATGTTGGGCGCAAAGAGGAAAAACGTCCTGTATCCTGCGGTTTCCATTTTCTCCGGCCGAGATGATGCAGTTCCACGTTTTACCACACGGTGGCGGTGTTTTGCTGTTAAGGCAGGTATCCGTCTATAATGTTGATTGTAAATGACCCAGGAATTGAGAACGGCACAAACGTTGCTACATGGCGCGCCTGCCGACTACAAGGCAAACCCGTGAGTGTCCCAGTATGGAAAGAAAGTTTTATTTTTTTTTCTTAGTGCTCTGTTTTAGATCAGGCATGGCTTTCACACCCCTGGAAACTTATACTCGGTCTCTTTTGATGCAGAAAAAATATTACTGCGATGCTTTGTGCGAGACCTCTCGGACTGATTTTCTAGGACGAAAAGAAATAATTCTGTTGTGTGCACAACACCTGACCTGCAATCCAAAGGCCTCTGACAAAACAATTGACACACTGATGCTTCCTGATGGCATCAGTGCCAGATCCTCTCCTTTTCCCCAGTCATTGACATCAGTCTTGCAATCACCATGCTCCTGATTGCCAACACTCAGCTCGCTGCTTATCACAATCACCAAACACAAAGACACGCACCAGCCTCAAGGATCCTGAAAGAGAACAACAAGGCTGAGGGCTGATTTATATGCTGTGGTGCAAGTGGCCTGAGATTAACCTCAAAGCACACAAGCAAACACATTAGTAATGATGTCAACATTTCCTGAACTGTCACGTCGTTGATGCCAGTTGGTTCCAGATTACAGCCCTGAGCCCTGTGGAGTAAACTAGCAAGACACGTGACATCTAGGGCTCAGAGACCGGTGAACAGGCATGTGCTCGTTCAGGGTGCACGCTGGAACGGGCCAGAACCCCACAAGGCAGCACCTGCAACCTGGGGCAAAAGTATCAGACATCTAGAGCTCGTGTTGCTTCCAGAGGCGTGGTCGCCCACCCTACCAGCCTGAGAGACGCTCACTGCAGACCCCCTGTTGATCAGCTGTGGCAAACGGCAGTCAGCCCAATGCATGTAGCCCTGTTGTGTCTTTTCAATACAATGTCAGTGCACCTGCTACCAAAAAAAAAATGATTTTCCCGAAAATGAGTTGGTGAGGTTGTTGCAGTTGTAAGCAATAAGTTCCTTGTGGTGCTCTCAGTTCTGGTCCTGGAGGGCCACAGGACACCAGGTTTTACAGGTAACTGAAAATCCTCAGTGGATGAAGACTTGGAAACAGTGGTTATAAAAACCAGTTAAGGGAACAATCCATTCAAATCAAGTCCAGGGCGGAATGAACTCCCCACCCCCACCCCACCCCACCCAGGGGTGAGAATCAGTGGTTTAGACTCTGGTCCCCAGCCGCTGACTGAGGGAGGAGAAATATCACCTGCTAGCCCGCACCTACAAGAGGAAGACCTGTTGTTGGTAGGCTGTTAAAATAAGTCTAAACACCAGAGCCTGTCCAGCATGCACAGCGAGGGAGAGGAAGACACTTGAAATAGAAAAATGTAGATGCAGCTCTTTACTTCTCTATTAAATTTCTGATCTGATGCCTCTTGCTCTGCATTAACAGGGATTGCATTTTGATCACATTTCCAACGAGAGCTGCCTGTATACCACACGCATTATAAACTCGCATAAACCACACAAGCTGCCCAACGGCTGAGTACAGCCTCCACGTGAGCCACACTGCATATTGTGGCGGAGTACATAGTTAATACGCTGCCTGGAGAAGCTCTCCCTATAAGAATGACTTGACCTTTACCGTCTACCTGATTTTTAATCTCTCCAGATGGCTCTGAATACCCATGAGTGAAAAACAAGATTTTACAGCGTTATCAAGCACTAATTACCCCAGGTACACTCAGCCCTGTCAGGGAAGCCTATTTTAGGAACACTCTAAACGGGAAGTGAAAAGGCAAATGGATATGAAATGCCTCCATCTGCCAGATTCCATATTTATAAGTCTAATCATGCAGGAGGCAGGCAGGGCCCTGTGCTGTAACCCCCTCGTCTCCACTCTCGCCCAGAGCTCTGCAGGCTGGCCGGAGCAGCCAGGAGTCGTGCTGGGGAAATCAGACATGATCATATCCAGACATATCCTCACCTCCTCCCACCTGGCCGACAAGACTCGCCTCCACAGAGGCGCTGTAGAGCAGCTGCTATTAGGTAATAAGTAGTAGTAAAACAAAAAAAAGCTTATAGTGCATTTTGAAGCCAACAAAATGCGACATGGTGAAAAGCAGGTTGAGTTTGAGTCTGGGTAATGTTACTACGACCCGGGTGGAGTCCATTCAGGATATTTCATGGTGGTGACCTAGAACCAGTATATGTCCTTCCTACATGTAATCCCCAGAGCCAGCTGTTTGCCAGTCAAGAGCATGCGGAATCAGTAATATAAACACAGGATGCATTTGCTGACAAGGGTCTCACCGAGTTAACAGAAGTGTAGTAATGAAATCAAAGGCAGCTCACTCAGGAACGTCACTGGAAAATTACGAGATCCCACTTGAAGTCTTTACCTTGGATGGCCAGATCATGGAGGGCAGGCGTGTGAAGGAGCATGTTTTTATCCTGCTACGTCCGACTGCCTGCGTCGGACACACCTGCACAGTGGGTCACTGTGGGTCAGGCCAGCTGCTCGAGATCTCGGAAAGCTTTCCCCGTGCAGCAGTCTCAAACCGCATTCCCCTTTTCACTCCCAAGAGCAGCACAAAAGCACTGGGAGATACAATTCAATAAGCCCTCTCGTTTGGCACCTGCAGAGTTTAACATATTCATCTAGACTTGTGAAAAACACAGGTCGATCTCACCTAGGCAGCCTTCAGTGCCTTGAAATGTCTCCTAACAGATCACAGCTATTAGAGCCAGTAAGCTGAGTTAAGGACCAGCCCAGTGAGTTTTCAAAGAGAACATTTTGCTGAGAGAGGAAATGAGGTAATGCAGAACACAACCAAGTGCATGCAATTTTCATCTTAATCACTTGGAATCTATAAAGGCAAGAATTAGCCTTTTCATCTTTAATGCTAATAGCTTATTTTTTATATGACAAGGAAACAGCATCTGTGTTAATTGGGTAGAGTTTGTAATTTAGGGATAATTAATGTGTCAATTTAGCTCTCCAATTTAATGCACCTATCCAGTGAAATCCTGTTTTTTTAACTATTGCTGAACAAAAAAAAAATTAACTGGCCATAATTTAACACCTGAACTCGGTCCCTTGTTAAATTTGGATTAGAAAAAACTTTTAAAGTAAAAGGGAAAAAAATGACAGGAAAACTAAATGACACTGTGTTTTTCACAGGCTGGCGAGAGTGAGCGGCCCTCTTTATCTCAGCACCAGGGAGGAAACGAGATTCACCCCCCCTTCTCACCCTCCAGCCCCACAAAGAGACGATAATGTGATCTGAAGAGAGACATATTAGAAACCACTGATCTGCATCCAATCATCACAGAGGAGGAGACCTGCTGACCCTCTCAGAGTTTACCATTAGAAATGTCACCCGCTAATTAGGATGCGTTCCTGTTCGCCTGCATCGCAATGGGGGGGGCACCGTGACACTGAGTGGTGTGTCAGACAGGGGGGCTAGGACTGAGCACCACGACACAGACAGGCTCAGCAGCTCCCGGGAGGCAGAACTGCTGCGTTCGTCTTCTGGTGTTCGAGATCAGACTAACGCTGCCCACAGATGCCTAGCATCCCCGCAAAATACCCTGTCCTGGGTAACTCCTGCGAGGTGAACAAAGAGGGCTTGCAACGCAGAATTACTGTCCGCCTGTACACCCTGACTTTATCCGAGAGCACCAGGCCTCGGGGCAGGGTGGAGGTGTTCAAACGGACCCTTTCGCCGTGGCGCAGACGCACGCAGGGACGCCAGAGCATGGCAGGCTCCCGCGCCCCGGGCCGCGAGACACCGAAGCCGTATCAGTACGTTAATGACGGTCATCACAGGAAAGAGGCGACGCTCACTCTCTTCAGCACCAGCACCCGAGAGAGAGACGCACGACTTGATAAATGAGCCCCCAAATCCCACCCCCCCCAGTCACCGCCATCAACGCCCGCTTCGCTGCCCCCCAGGCTCAGCAGTGCGGTCGTAATGCTCAGGTGCTGATGGATTAACTGGTTTATCCTCAGGCGCGATGCTGACCTCACGACCCCCAGGCTCGTGTGTCTGTGGGCAGTGCGGCCGCTGGACACTGCTCAGGCCTGTCCCCCGTGTCCCCCTGGGCTCCAGCGATGACATCGGAGCCGCCCTGGGGGTGACACGCTGCTGTCAACACTGCAGACACAATGAGAGACGATGGCTCCCTCACACCCCTCCTGCCAGCCACGCTGCTGAAAGT